GTCCACTCTCAGTAACCGCCTTGAGACAAACTTCCCTCCGTGGCTTTTACTATGTCAGTCTCTAAAAAATCATTCCAGAAACAAAAGTCCAGACTCCCTGCTCAGGTGCTGAGACTCAGCAAGACCCAGCCCCACCTTATCGCTCTGCTCCCCGCGGCACCAAGCTGGTCTCTGCGTGGTCGCCACACCCAGCCTGCCCTTCGCTCATGTGTGTGCTGTGCCCAGAGACCTCCCCCCCTCGTCTACTTGCTCACAGAAGGTGCTGAGGAAACGTTTTTCCAAGTAGGTGAATTCAAGACCTACTCATTTTCTTTTTCTTTTTTTTTTTAAGAATTATTTTATAGTTAACTTTATTTATTTTCATTTGACTAGAGAGGGACAGAGTGAGAGTCAGAGAGAAAGAAAGAGTGGTGGAAAGTGAGAAAGCCAGCCACCAGGTCTGGGGTTCAAACCATAGTGGGCCATGTGGGAGTACAACGCCCTTAACCACACCACTTGCCAGCCCCAAGATCTACCCATTTTCAAAGCTCAGTTCAAATACCCTGCCTCCCAACCATGTATGTTATGGGAACACACATAGACTGAGAGGAGGAAGCTACCCCAGGCAGAAGGACCGGCACAAGGTATATTCATGGAATGGGGAATGATTACGAACGACCATAGAGTGTGTTTATGTTGAAGGAGATCGGGTCAGATCATGAGGCACCTTGGACTCAGTGCTTCAGGTTACAGAGGAACTCAGTGTTCGTGTTGTGTGTCCTCATCAAGATAAGCTCCTTTGATAAGCCAGCACCAGGACCAGCAGTTAGCGTAATGACTGTGTCGCTGGACTCCCATGTAGTCGACCACAGTTCGAGTCCCAGATCCAGTGGCTTAAACTCACGCTGGGTGCGCGTCTGTGCATGCCCAAGATCCCGAGAGGAGAATGGAGAAGGGATTGTGGCGTGGCCATCCCCTCTGGGAGGTGATTTCTCGCTTTCTGTCTCTCTGTCTCTGTCTCTCTGGCAAGCACATATGCCCTATAGCAAAAAACTCTCCAAAAAAAATAAATAAATAAGTAAGCCAGCACCACAGCCCCTGAACTTTCACCCCATCAAATGTGCACCAGACAGTCGGCAGAAAGCCGATGGACCCACGGGTCATTTAGTTTTGTTCACGTGTAGAACCCCATGGTTCCACAGCCTCGTGAATGTAAAGTTTCTGTGTTCCCAACCTGCTTCGGAGCCGTAGGAGCGGGAGGCCATCTCAGAGCAAAAGCAAACCCTCCATTGCTGCCATCAGGCAGGCTGGGGCCACCTTGCCTATTTGTCAGAACTCCTTGCCACTGCCTGGGTCCCTTCAATCCCTGGGCTCCCGCTGGCCACAAAGCTGTCTGAAGGTCAGATGGGAGTCCTGCGCATCCTCCCAGCCTCGTGACATTAGGAACTAGGTTCTGTTTTTATTCCCAGATGGCTGACGAGGAATAGAGGCTCAGATAATAAGTGTGGTCTGGAATGACAGGTCTCCCATTCCACTGCCCATGCTCTGAACCACTTGGCCACAGTCACCCCCAGGCAGACCTGAAAGAGATCAGGGCAGTCCTTCCCTACCAAGGGACAGAGCTGCTGAGATCTTGAGGAAAACACCTCCAGCTCTAGCTTACTATTCTCAGCATATTCCTATGCAACAAACCTGAGGACCACTAAACCAAGACACAGCCAGGGAAGCTCATTCCCCCGTGGTAGGACTCGGGACCTGAGCTGACCTGAGGAAATTCCAGTGCTCTTCAGCCTCCTCTCCTGAGGAGCAGCTTACCAAAACCTGTGGTGGTTTTTCCTCCAGACCCTTCCCTGCCACTCTCACTTCCATTCAGCCACATATCTACGCATCTGCTCGACGCCGGGTGCAGCTCCGTGGACTGGGAACACAGCGGGTAGCACAAAGGACAAGACCCCTGCTCCCCTGAAGCTTAACATCTGGCAACTGTGACAAGTAAAAAGTAAACTAGGATTAAAAAGTATGAATGAGGACCCAAGAGGTAGCATAGTAGTTAAGGTGCCAGACTCCCACATGGCCAACCACAGTTCGAGTCCCGGACCTGGCAACTTGCTTTCTCTCTCTCTCTCTCTCTCTATCTCTCTCTCTCTCTTGTTAGTGCATGTGTCCTATAGCAAATTAAAATAATATAATAATAAATAAGTAATTCATTTTTTATTGAGAGGTTTTTGCTACAGGGTGCATGTGCTCACCAGAAAGACAGAGACAGAGAGACAGAGACAAAGAGACAGAAAGCGAGAAATCACCCCCTAAGGGGGTCCCGGGACTTTTTTTTTTTTAACTTTTTAAAATTATTTTTAAAAAATATATGGATTAGTGGCCAGCAAGTGGCATGATGGTTAAGGCACTGGACCATGACACGGCTGACTGTGGTTTGAGTCCTAGATCTGGTAGCTTGAAAATTATGCTGGGTAGATGTGTGTGTGCATGCCCAAAATCCCAGGAGGAGAGTAGAAGAGAAGGGATTACAATGTGGCCACCCCCTGGGGAAGCAATTTCTCACTTTCCCTCTCATTATCTCTGTCTCTCTTCAATGAGGGCGTGGACTCTATGCAAAAATCTAACAAAATAAAAGTAAAATTAAAAATAAATAAAATAAAATGCCTGATTCTGCCCTTTGTACATTAAAATATAGATATTAAAAAAAAAAACAACTATGAGTGAGAGACAGTACAGGATGGAGGAAAGAGACTGATTTAGAAAGTCCTTCCTGGGGAGGTGACAAGTAAATTTATACCCAAATGACAAGAAGCAAGGCTCCAGGACCTACCTTATGCTTGGTGGTCAAAAAGAGCAATCAGTTAGTCCCAACTAAATTGTTAGATCAGCAACTAGAGGTGCAATGAGATAAAAAGACTGAGACAGTTTCCCAACTATGTTTCTTCCCACCATTCAACAGAGCCTTCACATACAGACATTTGAAATGTAACCATCTTGGGCCAGCAGGTGGCATGGTGGTTAAGGTGCTAGACTCCCACATGACCCACCATGACTTCAAGTCCCAGACCTGGTGGCTTGCTTCCTCAACTTTCCCTCTCTCATAACAACACATGCCACATAGAAAAAGAAATTAAATAATAATAAAATTAAAGAAACAATTCTTTTTTTTTTTTTTTTGGAGAGGTTTTTGCTATAGGGCGCGTGCGCTTGCCAGACAGACAGAGAGAGACATAGAGACAGAAAGCGAGAAATCACCCCCTAGGGGGGATGGTCACGCCGCAATCCCTTCTCCTCCATTCTCCTCTCGGGATCTTGGGCAAGCACGCACACGCGCCCGGCGTGAGTTTTAAGCCACCGGGTCCGGGATTTGAACTGTAGTCGACTACGTGGGAGTCCCACAACATAGCTATTACGCTAACTGCTGGTCCCAAGAAACAATTCTTAAAAAAAAGAGAGAGTGGCCAGCAAGTTGCATGGTGGTTAAGGCACTGGATTCCCACATGACTGGCATGCAGTTCAAATCCCAGACCTGGAAACTTGAAATTCATGCCAGGCGTGTGTGCATACTTGCCCAGAGTCCTGAGAGAAGGGATTGCGTTGTGGCCATCCTCCCCCAAGGGGGTGATTACTCGCTTTCTCTCTCTGGCGAGCACATGGGCCCTATAGCAAAAATCTCTCAAAAAAAATAAAAGAAAAGAAAAAGAAAAAGAAATCTAAGTATCTTACATGTGTGTTTTTCTTCCCCTTTAGCACATTTACTTTTTTTTTTTTTTTGGAGGGTTTTTTTCTATA